ACGAGTGTCCGAACCATTTGCAGGCATTTGACTTTATTAGATTTTAACACGTGAAGGTTGAAAGAGCGCACGGGAGAGTTATTTGCTGAGGTTGAGGTTGACGTACGGCGGAGGAGCAGTAGCAGATAAATGGTGGTAATAAAGGCGAACGAACGATAATTGAGCGTAGAAAGAGCAGGGAGTGGCAAGCGAAATGTTGCTTTCTATTATGAGCCATGTCATGCCATAAATATACGCATATATGTTATATACATATATACACACACATGAAACGAAGGTGCGCCAAGCATTGCTTTCGTCCATTTTCGGCTTTTACGGCGTTTTACCACAAAGGCGTGTTGCTGCCGCCGCCGCTCACGCCTTTCGCGCTCATGCACGTCAAAGCTAGTCTGAGTGCTTTGTGTTTATGATATGTTGCTAAAGTCTATGCGTATGCGCTCCTACCACCGACCAACACCACCACTAACTCATTTATAAGCTCATATCCAGCAGACAGCTAGTTAGTTTGTGGCTGCACCCGCTCGTACTCGTATGGGTGTTGATAATTTATTATTTATAAGGTGTATTCTACTGGTAAATGTATTTGATAGTATTTTCATGTTTTCCTACGCTTGCCACACACTACACGCGCGTGTGTGTGTGCGTATGTGTTGCGGAGCAATTGGTGCGAAGCGTCTACTGTAAGTGGCTGTGGGCTCTAGCCACTCAGGCACGCAATCTAATTGACTGGAATCACATGTTGATTTTTGTGTAACGGCGTCGTGTAGCAAGTGGCTTACCATTGTTGTTTTATACACACCGGTATATTAATACACGTACCAATGTGTATATGTATAGGTGGAGTAATTGCAAGCGGAAATGAAAATTGTAGGAAAATTACTTGTCGAAAACTGATTAGTCCTTCACACACACACACACACAAACACAGGTGGGTATTAAAAAAAGTGAAATGAAAACGTTTATTCGTGCTTACAATACTTAATGTATGACGAAATAAAATTTTATTAACCTGATTAAGTCATAGATTAGCTATGTATGTATGTGTATGCGCTTAGTAAGACTTTAAACGCATATTCTTTTTAAAAAAGATCTCACCTTGAGCAATAAGTGGCATGTGTGCCATTTATGGTGAATAGTCATGAAATTACATTTAAATGAGAGCTATATGCTATAGTAGTTAGATTATTATGCAGACACTTAAACAAGTATGGTGCTGTTACAAACTCGAATTTAATGAATAAAATGCTTTGAGGTCACAATAATTTTTAAAATTTCGTACTGAAGCCCAGGTTTGAAGAGTTTGTATTCAGTTGTGACTAGCTGTTTAAGGGTCTGGCAGAGGTCAGTCGAAATAGGGCCAGAATTTAAATTGGTTGGTATGTAAACGCGAGGCCCACGTTCCGGGGGCGCTCAGATATAAATGCTAGTGTTCACCCTAAGCCTTTTGATTTTATATGAAGCAAAGATCTATTTATATGTATTAAAGCACTTTCGTCCTTTACCTATCCCTTGCTTCAAGGCAAATTGCACCCCTGATCTTAGAATGGAGGGGTTTAAATGACCTCCTTTTCTGTTTAAAGATATATTATTTATAGTCTTAGGGAACCGTACTGAAAACTGTAAAGCTTCGATCAGCGGTCCGGCCGCGTCAGGCCAAGACACAATGTTTCACGCCCGCGCGATTGATGTGTTTTTCGAATTTTTAGCTCTGCGTGAAGAATTTCGCTTGAAATCTTCTATTCGATGCAAACTCAGAAAGGCACAGAAGTGGCTTATACGACGATTGAGCGCTTTATAAGGTAGAAATTACTATTTACAAGTCCATAAGAGGGCCGAGCTTAATGGAGAGCCCATTGCAAAACCGTTGAATGGACCGTGAGCAGGGACTAGTCGATAAAGCTACTCCTGAATGTTCATTTTCCGCGAAACCATTCCACTAAAGAAATGCCACTGAGAGGGCCAGTGTTGTGGAGTCGCTGTTAAATAGGAGCGGGAGCTTTTTCACTGATGGCTTAAAGCTTAAGGGAAAGGTTGCCGGGGGTTTTCTGTTGGGAGTTTTCAATCAGAAACAGAAATAAGGAGTCGATGGCATTCTCAGCTTTTCACGGTGGTACCTTCGAGACTCGTTTGACAAAGGTCGGTCACTTTAGCTAACCCAGCTTTAAATTACAACGATAGACTATAACGGTGTTTAGAGAAACTTCAAATTATCTGTCAAACGAACTGTCAAACCAGTAACTGTTTATTCATTGCATAATTTTTCTTTGTCAGCGAAGAAAGAAGTGTTCGACGTTTTATTTTCGAAAGTGTTCAAAAAATGTGTGCGCTTAAAATTAAAGCAGTTGCTGCTCCTTATTCCAAAGACATTAGCTGCAAAACAATTCCATTACTGAAATCGGCAATTAGTGCACACGATCGAATCTTAGGCAATATTTTGCTCAACTCGACAATATCAAGATTAACTGTCTTCCTTCTTAACGTCAAATAAGTGACAATTGTTAAATATGTACATACATTTCTATGAAAAAGCTCACCCAATCTTATACTACCTGCCCATATTCTACCACTTATACTACAAGTATATACTTATGTATATATACAGACTTACATTGTCATTGACTATTTTTTCGCCAATCAAGTTGCCATGCAGCCAGCAAGTCATCCAGCCACCAGTTTGTGTACTCACACTTCCAGTCAGTCAGGCGTAAGTATTCGCAGACAGTTTGCAAGATTCCTCTCTTCTTAATTTTAAACAGCAGACTTGTTGTCTTTTGCCATCACTGCCATGTCTATACTGCTTCTAGTGTTATTTTTTTTTTTTCTTAATTTTTTATTACTCATACTTATTTATTTTCGGCAATTGCTCTGTTTCAGCGTATTTCCGTTTCTTTTATTTGTTGGTTTTTTGCTAACAGAGAGTCGTGCTTGTCGATGGAATATACATACACACATACATATGGTCGCGCTGTTTATATTTTTATAGCGTCCCCCAATATAAAAACCAGCAAGTAATTGAGAATATTTAAGAAGATGGTGCCGGTATATTTTTGGCTTTAAAAAGCAACTACATTCCAGGTAAGCATCATGTTATGTCTTTACTTGTCGCGAGCACCCGAGAAACCGATGCAGTTATAGAATAAATAAAAGCGAGTATTTAAGACCTTGTTTCATCATCATCATTCTTATTTCTTGTTTACCAACACTGGAGCATAGGGTCTCATTAAAGTATTTCCACCTTTTTTTCGTTACATGATTTTTCGCGTTCTTTGACTTCTTTTTGTAAGGAAGAAATGTGGTCTTAGGGGCCGCCCTCTCTTGCGACTTCTTTGGGGTTACAATCCAGAGCTTGTTATCAAAATACTGTAGCATCTCTTCGTAGAGTGTGATCTATTCAACTACATTTTCGCAGTGAACAAAAGTATTACAAGCGAATTTGTATAGAAGAATGTCTATCGAGATCTGGTTCTTCATTGCTTAGGTTCACTAATGCCTCTGCTATAATGTGGCTCAATAATAACGGATGGTGAAAGTACTATATTTCATATACACGACCATCATGCTAACTTCACAATGGCTCATCGTAAGAGCCCGTTTTCACAGCTGACATAAGTAAGTAAAGAGTAAATAAGAAACTACACCAAAGGCATGTCATTTCCCACATCGCTCGTAGTCTTTTCTGAGGAATGAACCTGGGTTTATATTAGCCTAAGTATCGTCAACTCCTCCATGTTCCTTTGTTATATTTGGCGAATGTTTCCAGCCGCTACAACAACGACAACGATACCCTTAACTACGAACATTTTTTGTCTCAAAATCGCTTGGTTTGAATGATACTGGAAATCAATTAAGGTCGAGGTTATAGAAAGTTTTCTATTGAAGTAAAATTATTTTATAATAATTTCAAATTAAGCCTCAAAATACTTTTCAAAAATCAATCAAGTTTCCTAATGCTAAAATTTTTTGTACTTTTAACTAAAAATTTGACCATCCCAACTGGTTTGTTGGGTATAAAAGTTCCAAGTCTAATCTGCGTACATACACAGAATCTCTTAGCTTTTTATTTGATTCTCCTTATTTGAATCTTATTTGCGCTTTTATTTCAGTAGCAAGCAAAAACGATAAAAACATCATAACCCACCCAGAGTGGTGAGAAGACATTGGAAATTGCTTGTGTGCCCTAGGCATACGTTTTATATGCGCTACATGTAGAAGCACTTGTCGGCTTTAACAGTTATATGCTAAAAAATTCGTTTAGCTAACGCGTGTGAGCATGAGTGTGTTGTTCGCGAGTATTTCTAGCTGTGTTGATGCGGTCGTATATGCCGTTACAGTTGGTTGGCTCGAAAGCGCTCATCACGAACGGTTCGTTAGACCGGCTTACTGCTGGCATGCATGAGACCGATTGACTTCGTGTCAAGGCGCTTATATGGAATACGAGAGAAATCACTTTGTAGCTGAACGATTGCTCTCACAAAAAGTTGGCTTAGCGTGGTTGCGGAAAATATTTTAGTCTTATAATATATTTACAGCAAGCAAGTAGAGGTTTCTCAGATTATTTGTTTTTTTTTTCAATTATATTTTAAAATTTTATTTTTTATTGTGCACTATAAAACGACATAAGTAGAATTTATCACAATTTCAGTAAAACGCTGAATTGTTGCCTGTTTTCATTAAATGTGCGCAAAGTGGCAACGCTGTAACGCTGTTATGCCGTTATTGTTCCACACACACACACCCACATACTTTCGTTTGTTTACTTGAGAGTAAATTTTTCGCTGTGCTTTTGTACACTAGCCACTCTCGCTGCGCTCTCCATTATGCGTCTTGTCCTTCGAACAAGTGTAGCGTGAAACATTCGGCTGAGTTTAGCTGTGCGTGTGTGTGTGTGTGCCTGTGCTTTTGTCCTGCGGGACCGTAGGTTGCGTCGCTGAAAAAAGGTTCGCTCACCCGTTCGCTTGTACTTGCCCCATTGTGCGAGTGGCTGCGTCCGTTCGACATTGCGTTGCCTCGCTCATGTGACACAACGTTTATTTTCCTTGCGGTGCGTGTGCTGAGCAGACGTTGGCAGCGATTGTACACGGTTGTTCCGTTACGAACGGAAAACTTATTCTTGCTTTGGTGTTTTTAGCGCGTTGGACCGCGTTTTGTAGGCGTATTTTGTGAGTGTCGCATGTGAATTTTCGAATTTCGAAAATTTGAAAGTAAAATTTGTACTGCAACGAAACGGTTTCAGGCGAAATAACGGTTGTGTAGCTGAGAAAGTTTGTATTTTCAATTGTGTTAAATAAAGGTGTGTTGAAGGCTTTAAGTTTTTTCTAGTGTTTCAAAATGCAAATAAATAAACTAAACATTTAAAAAATAAATTTAAAAACAAAACGAATCTTCCTCTCAACTGTTCGTGTTGTTTGTTGCTATTTCATAAATGCACTGGAACCTCCAACACTTTCCGGTGTTGCATGTGCCTTGCAGCATTGATTAAACAAAAAATGTAGCACACGCGTTGCCTTGGTGTTTTTGGTATGCAAAAATTTGCATATGAAACCGTTACACTTTTGCATTCAAAATAGAGCATAAATTCGCGTTGTAATGAAGGTGTGCGCCGTTTTGAGCGAAAGTAAACAAAGTTTTCGAGGCAAAAAACTTTTGCTGAAAATTGTTAGAAAGTGCTAGTCAGCAGACTTAGTGTTTTTCAAAGCACTTGTTTGGTCTAATTCGGCTTTTGGAAAAAAACGTGTCAACATTTGAAAAGCAAAAGCTTGGTGAAGTGTTAAAATTAAGACCTTTCGTTCATGGTTGCGTAGCTTAATTTTTTAAGTGTATAGTTTTATTTGAACATAATAACACAATAACGCATAAAATACAGTTAAAATGTTGATAAGCGACAGTTGGCATAAGAATATTAAAGCATTTGAGCGAAAGAGTTTTCTATGTTGTTATTTAGACTTCAAAAGCTTTTTAAAAATTAATTCAATAACCAAAATATTTATTTTTTGAACATCACTGTGTTTTTTTTATATCAAAAGCTCATTCAAAGCCGTGAATATGACTGAATTCAAAAGAAGTTTTTGAGTTCAAATAAAAGCGAATAAAATTTTAGTGTTAATGAATTCTTAAAAAAAAAATATTCACAAATTTTCCCATTTCGCAACGTACAGAGTTTTAAAAAATAAGTTACGTTTAAATAAAGTAAATGTTCCCACTTGAGAATTGAGAATGTAATATACATAGCTGTTCTTATAGTTCAAAGCTCTGTTATCGTAAAGCAATGTTTTTTAAACAATAAATATTAAATCCAGTTAAATTATAGAACAGCGCTAAAGTCTTTGAAAATAGTAAAAAATTTAAAAACAAAAACCATTCCTTAAAGCCGCTAACAGATGGCAGATATGAATCTTGCGGTGGGGTCTTTCTTGCATTTTCTGATAAACCTCACTATAGACATATACACGTATATATTTTTTACACCATCAGAAAGTAGCGATTTTAATGAAGAAAAAGCCTACCGACAAATATATTGATTTCGATTGAAAATTAGGTGCACTTTTCCGATATTAAGTCAAAAAATGGGTGAAAAAAAAATTTTAATTAAAAAAAAAATATTAAATAAAATTTCGTGAACGAAGTTTTTTTTGTTAAACATTAAAATAAAAAAACAAACACTGTGATTTGTATTTTTCAAATAAATTGTTAGGTTATGTGAAAAAAGTTTGTATATAAGTATAAAAGTTAAAGAACTATTCATTACCCACAATATTGCCATATAACTTCCACAGGACTTGTAGTTTCTCCGGAAATCGAGATAAACCGTTTATTGTCCTCAAAAACTCAGAAACCATCTACCTCTTGATCTCAAATCGCCGCTAAATTATTTTCCCTTTCATTTTTGTTATAGTATTCTCTTGCTTTTGTAATAAGTTGCAACGTGTTATTTATAGTTTTTTGTTTTTTTTTGATTTAAAAAGTTGTCGACCTTACTCTATTAAGCCGTCTTAATATATAAAAGTTCTCACCGCAAGTTTCATCTGAGCAACTTACTTCATTTACATACGCCGAAACGAAAGGATTCAAAAGCAGTTTCTGCTCGCATGTTTTGGTAGCAACTTTTTCTGCAGTCACTTATTTGAATGTATTGTTATACGTATGTTATTATTATTATTTATATTACTAACCTGGTGACATACATCATCTTTGCAGGCACCCTTCGACTCCGACAAAATTTAACAGGAATTAGCCGCCACACATAGAGGATCCTTATTTTTTCTTTGCTCTCTTCCTTTCTGTGGCTCTCCTGCAATGAATAGCGTTCTGGGAGTTATTATCTATCGCCGGTGTATAGTATAGAGTGACCCCTGCACAATAATATTAATATTTGGTTAGCTTAAACTTTTTCTTAGGCAGATCTGTCCCTGAAAATCCCAACATACACTCTGTATACAAAGAGTCTCAGAACCACCACTTTACGTGCTGACTCAACTGGACTCATCTAACACCCTTTCTTCAATACATACATAGCTCTTTTTTTCACTTCTCGTTAGATGACGTCGTTGACAATATCAAAGATACTTTACAGTTTAACGACAAAAACAACAATTTTGATTAAACAACAAAACAAAGCGGATATGGATTCTTAGCTTTATTATTAGACTATAGTTCTATTCAATTATTGATAATTTTAATAGTAAAAGACAAATTATGAAGGAATATTGAATGTTCAAAATAAATGAAACTATAATATAGGTAGTTTCGATAGTATATAGTATAGATAGTAGTCGATATATTATTTTCTACTATCGATAAGCCCATTAATACTTTTGATGTGGATTTTTTCGTAATTTACTTTTGCAGTTAACGCTTTAAATGATATGGGAACTTTATTGGCTTTAAATGATATGGGATGACAAAATAAAAAAAAAAACTATTCTGAAAGAAAATGGAATGCTCTATAAAAATATATATATAAAATAAAATAAAATAAATTAAATAAATAAACTAATAAAATATGAAACAAAAACAATAAAAAAATATAAAATAAAATGAATAAATAAAAATTATAAATAATAAAATTAAATTAAGTAAAATAATAAAAATAAAATATATAAATGAAATATAATAAAATAAAAAATTTTAATTTCATACACATTCCATAAAATAATAAAAATAAAAAAGCAGTTAAAATAAAAATAAATGATATAAATATATATAAAAAAATATGATATAAAAATATATAAAAAAATATGATATAAAAATATATAAAAAAATAAATAAATATAAATAAAACTAAAAAAATAAAATAAATAAATAAAAATATAAAATAATCAGAAAATAATAATATATAATTAATGGAAATATAAAAAAAAAATTAAAAAAATAATATAAGCACATAAAAATGACATAATAATAAAGTTAAAAAAAACTTAAAAAAAAATTGTTTAATATAAAAGAAATAAAATAAAAATTAAATAATCATAATTTCAACCATTTAGTAGTTCAAAATTGAATATCTTCAGAATGATTCATTGTAGTACTTGTATGACCTAATACACCAGATATTTTTGACGAGCGTTCGAATTCCAATTTTAGCCGAGTTGCTTTTTGAAGCTAGGTTTTCTTTGTAATGTAAAGGTTTTAACCGAGTTAAAATATGCGATGTGGCAAAAACTGTAATTACCTTTTAAATGAACAAATAATAGTACTTTTGAAAAAATTTGCAATTGTAATGAGGATGCAAATTGCCAAGAGTCATGCGTGTTCGCCTGCAATTAATATTAAAGTTTGTATGTACACCCTGTACCATATGTGAATATGTTCTTCTTAGGTACTAATATAATATATAAGGCATTAAACTATTAAATACGAGTATATATTTTATAAATATGTATACATATGTATGTATCATTATATATCATTATATATATATTCATATACATATATGTATACTACTATATTATATACATATTGGTATAAACTTTAATCCATCTAAACCTCCTTTTTTCATATAAGCGATTTCTATGCGTATCTATCCCCAAAGTCGGTCTATTTTTCATAAAAAACAGTTAAATCTTGTATACATATATGGTATACGAATAAAAACTGAAAAACAATCTAATATTGTTCCCACCTCTCTGCAACTTAATTAATAAAGTTTGCCGCAAAAAAGCTAAAAATAATAAAATAAAATTTTGATAATGCAAAAATATTGAAACTGTGACGGAAGTTCAAAATTAAAACCACAAACACACAAACCCGCTAGGCGCAGCGCAACTAAGCGCGAATAGCCGCAGTTATAACCGCAGCATAGCGTAGTAAACAAAAATTCAAAACAAAACAAAACAAAAATAAAAGCAACATCTACTAAAATTACAGCAACAAAACTAAATAGTAGCAAAAAAAAAACAACAAAACAGTTACAGTTACTACGGCGCTCCCGCTAACGATCGCAACCACCGCTTCCCAGCAGCCATATAACAACAATAGCAATAGAAAGAACAAAAACGAAACATTAAGTGTAATCCCAAAAGGCACACGAAATGGGCTGCAACACCAGTCAAGAGCTGAAGACAAAAGACGGCAATGCTGGCGGCGCTAATGGCGAGGGTGAGCTCAACGTTGTCACCACCGCCACCGTCACCGCAACCAGCAATGGCGATGTTGGCGCTGTGAGTATCGGCGAGCAGAATGGCAATTTGGTGGAGCAACCGAAGGCGAGCTGTGGCGGTGGCAGCGGTGGCAGCGCTGGCAGTCAAAGCAGAAAGACAGCATCCGCAGCTACTGCCGTTTCAGCCAACTCCGCAGCCTCGGCAGGTTCGGCGGTCATGGCGACGTCAAACAATCTCACAAATCACTCGAAATCAAATTCAATTATAAGTAACGGTGAGGCTAATAAGCGCAGCGCCTCACGCGATGAGGGTGACGGTGGCATACTCGAGAAGGCGTTGGCGGCTGTGAAACAGCAATGCGATAAAGCGGAAATATCCGAGTTCAACGATATGAGCGATTTGGGTGAATTGGGTGAATTAGGCGAAGACGAAGGTGAGTAGTTGGTGCCATGCATACATACATACATACTTGTATATACTTAAGTACTTGTACGTTATCCTTTTGATTGTTTTTTTTCGCTTTTCGTTTTATTTTCGAAAACTTTTACTTTTTTATCTGCCTTATGTGCGCGTATTTCGTTTGCGCTGTGCTGTCTTGTGTCTTATGCCGAAGTGTTGTTATGTATCTATATATTCACTTAATATGTATGCGCTTAACTGGCATTGCCCTACACGTTTAGTTTATAAGCTGCTCTCAGCGGCGCGCCCTTGATTCCCTGCTTTGTTGCACACCGCCAGCCAAGTTGTCCTTTGCTTCCCTCCCAACCATACTAACAAGACCGCAAGTGCTCACGCACCAGTATTCGACTAAGTTATTGACGCTCTTGTGTTGCGCATTTTAAATAATCTTCGCCAGATTCCTTCACTTCGTACGTTCGGTGAATTTGTTGTATCAATTTGTGTCTCGCCAACTTTGACTGCGCCAGTCAGCTGCCACCTGTATGAAGAGTACCTATATATGTTTTTTTCCTACTCATTTCCACATTACCTTACAGCTAAAGTTTGCCGCTTTCTTACCTTTTGTCTATTTTACAGTTAAATGGTTGTTGCGAATTATTTGACAGCTGTCAGCTTTCTGATTGTCATTTTGTTGCTTTCTTAAGCCGAAGTCTAAATATATTGTACACAATTCTCTATTCTAACGGGACACTAATGCGGAATTGAGTTTGTTAATCAAAAAGAAGTTATCGTATCGGAGTTCAAGGCAGTTATTCCCTGGTGTATTACAGAATTTACGAAGCTGGTTTCGGTGGTACGAAGCTCAGTTATTTTTTAGTGTATAAAATAAAAATTCTGAACATGGGTTGGAGGATTACCAATTGGTGCTAACAGAGGTCAGTGAGCACCTACTACCTTATAATTGTCTTGAAAAGTATTTTAAAGGTAGTTTGATTGTAAAGAAAAGCCGAGCAAAGAATGCCTTAACAGTTAGATTTTGAGTTCCTTATAAATCATTAATACTTTCGAATAGCTAACTTACACATACATATATGGATCAATAAAATGCTCTTATGCTTATTTTTGGAGCAGTAGGAAAAGGGCGTTTTTCTCTTTCTCTAATTTTCGAAATTTCAAGGTCTCTTCATGATAAAAATTTAAGCTATGGTTTACTATATACTCGTATATATTCGGAGTTTTATTTTAATTCGCTTGTGTTCTAGAGAAGTAAAAATGTTATTTAGAGAGTCAATTAAATTAAAAAAGAATCTCTTCGAAAAAAAGAAAAACAGTTAACTTCGGTTGGTCTTTCACGGGTTTTCAAGTTTTTTATTCAAGAATTTGATTTTGATCGGTCAGTTTGTATGGGTATATATACTATGGTGGTACGAAATCAGCGGTTCCGATAAATGAGCAGGCATTTAGAGAGGAAAAATCGGGTGCTAAATCTCAGATCGATATCTCAAAAACTGAGCGACTTATTCGCTTATACACAGACGGACAGACAGATGGACATGGCATTTTTACTTACCGTTCCAAACATGATTTAGATCTTCGAAATACTCGTAACATAAAATCTGGTTCAATTCCGGTACTATAGAATCGGCTGTTGTTGGAATTTTGGCGAGTAGTTTGCTTATCCCCATGATAGATTCCATTATTAATACTAGAGTACCTTTTAACGCAAATATTCTCTTTTAGTATTAAAATTTAAACATTAACCAACAAATGTGAGTGTTGGGTGTTAATAACATAAATACAATATATACATTTATTTTCCTTTCCTTTTTGTCTTCTTTCATTTCATTTGTATTTACTGTGTCTTCCTTCCATGACTACTGTCAACTGTACACTAGAAAAAATAAATAAATAAAACACAATTGAATTGTAAATTTATTCGCGCATTGCCTTCCCTTCGCATCACCATCGCCATTTCCATTTGATTGCGTTTTTTTTCCATCAACTTTCGCCGCCCAACCACGAAGCCATGGTAATTACGCCACAAATTATTACTTTGCATATTTTTTCCGCTGACTCAGAAATCGCGAAAATTTTAACAACTCAATGAGTCCTAAATGGCTGCGGTTAGTGGAATGAACTGCGCTCACTGCGTGCTTCGTCAAGTTGTGATTGCTTTGGCTTGAGGTGATGAGAGAGTGGGTGTGGAGTAACTGCCGGTGGACGCTTGATACTTTGAGCCATTTCTGCAAGCTAATTAAGTTTTATTTGTTGTTATTGTCTTGTTTTGACACCCACAGGAGTGATACACATTTGTAAACATAATTCATTTGTGGATTGACCTCTTGGCTCACTGGCTGTCGGCTGGCTTGATTTGTTTTCCAGTTACCAAACTTTGCAAGGACTCTGGCGCGATAGCCTCTCATAAATTGTATTTATCGTTAGCTAATTCCGAGAATGTTCGTTCATTGCATTATTAATTTTTCTGGTTGTGTATTATTAGATTGGGTAAATATAGTTAGTACTTTCCAGTGAATTCCATATTTGCCTTTGGCAGGTCAAACAAATATTTTGACTGAATTTTGTTGGAATTTGTGCAAAAATTTGTCATGTATATCGAAAAAAAATTGTGGAAAATAATTTCTTTACTGTTCTGTATGTAAATGAGCCACCGGAAATCTATTTTTTTCAGAGAATATAATTTGAAGTTGAAGAAAAAGCAAAAAATTACAAACTATATATTTATTTGTGTTGGCTTTCCGCTTTAAGTTTTGGTAAAATTATCCATTATTATTACCATCTGTTGAAGGTTTTCTTTCGCATAATTGGTATAATACGATTTGGGTCAATTAAGTACAATTTTGACGATAATTTATCGCCATTTTGAAGTTAATTTGATAAAGCCACTCTCCTAGAAACACTCGTTCTTAATGGTAACAATCTCGGATAGTAGATTTTTACAAGCTTCTCTTGAGGTCAAAATTTCAATTGGGCCTTAAGAAACTCGTAGCAACCTTAACTGAAATCTCTGATAGCGCTGTTGGGTAGTTAACCGGTAATTTAACCGTTAGGTGGCTTGCAGGGATGATAGCCTCAAACTCATTTTTTTATTCTTGGCTTGGTTGCGCGCTTGTGGTTTTAAACTCGTAAGTACAGCAAATTTTTAAAATAATATATAAATTATTATTGTAAATTTAATTAATATTTACACTTGAATTAGTTGTTGGATGCGTTAGAAGGAATGTTGCGGAAATATTTACAATTACGTAAGAATTTCTAATGTTATGAAATGCCGGCTGCACATAACCTTAGTTCTTCAGCTAATGCTCTAAAAAGAATGTCTTCAGCAAGCAAAAAAAAAAAAAGATTCATATTTGAAAGTTTCTTTGCGAAAATCGTCTTGGTCTTCTCGATAATTATCGAACCAACCTTGAAGCCAATGAGCTTAATTCACTGTTGTCTGCTTAGAAATCTAACTAACGTGTTAATAATCCTTCTATTATGCAAAATGCTGCTGCATAGTATGATTAATTTAGTTCGTTAAAACTTTAGAAGTAAAAGCATTAAAAAGCTCTTCGCGAAATTTGAGCTCTTATCATAGTTTTAATTATTATATAATATAATCCGCGTACAATTTCATTTTCCCTTTTGCATTTGTATATCAAAGGCATCCCTTCTTCAAGTGCTTTTGTGCATAGATACACAAACATATACTTATATACATTACCCCTTTCGAAATATTAAGCTTTTGAATGATTTAATTAGCATACAAAGTGTCGCACTTATTAACGTCGTTATATCTCGGCCATTTGCAGCATTGTTTCTACTAAATGGAAAAACTTTTGTTAATTTGACAATTACTTAATTATTTTTGTTTATTTTGAATAGTTAAATATGTTGTTGGCGAAAGCTGAGCAAAAGTTAAAGCTAAAGCTCACTGGCGTTTAAAAGTAATGTTTGAAAGAGCTTTTAGCCAAACCATTGCAGACTGTGTGCATAATTTCAAGTAAAGTTTGTTTATACTTTTGTGTTTTCCAGAATATGATTCCGGTCTCTTGTAATATAATGATATTCGTGTGACCTTTTCGACAATTTAAATATTTTTTTTCGACAGTTCGTATGCTTTCAAGCTTGAAAAAGATGAAAATTTGGAAGACATAATTAAATATTAAACTACCATGTGGACCAAACTTAAGAATGATTCAATTTGGGTGTTGCCACATTATCACAATGTTTAAATAAATAAAATTTGGTAATATAGTCATTAAAACACTTGTTGTAAAATATATTATTGAAAAGGGTTACCACCTATTTTTAATTTAAAAATATAAATTTTAAAATAGATGAAACACTGTTTATCAAAATGAAGCGTTTTAAGAAAATATTTTGAGTAGTGTTGCCACCTGTTCACATTTTTTCAACTAAATTTTTAAAGATGATGCACCGCAAATCAAAGTTAAGAGTTTTTAGAACATATTTTGAAAAGTGTTGCCACCTTTATACATCTTTTAAATTAAATTTTTAAAATAAATGAAACACCGCAAATCCATGCGAAAAGTTTAAGAAAATATTATTGACAATTGTGGCCACCTGTTTACATTTTATCAATTAAATTTTTAAAATCTGTTTACCTATTTTTGGTTTTTAATTAAACAAAGCTACGCAAATCAAATTGAAGATTTTAAAGAAAATATTATTAAGTAGGATTGCCACCTGTTTAAATTTTTTTAATTTAAATTTTTATAATAGAAAATAAAGGGCTTCAACTTATAAGGGTTTCAGAATTTTTTTTTTCAGATATTTTTGAGATGGGTTGCTCACTATTAAAAAAATATTTACACAAATTTGTGAAATTAATTCAATTTGTTAATAATGATGTCAACTGAAAGGTAGAAAGTTTGAAAAATCAAAAATCAACAGAGAAATATTATAATATGACTGAGCAGAGAGTGTTGTCATTTTTTAAATTTTTTTATACACTTAAATTGATGAAATATAAGAAACAGTAAAAAAGTGGCATTAAACTAAATCAGTTTG